TATCTACAGTTGCGAGATACAATCTGGTTTATTAAATATCACAACTAATCTTGTAATCATGTAAGGATCATGCCAATTGAAAATGGATTTCTGGTTTTATTACAGCAGTTTTAAAATAGGCCTAATAGTTACACCCTAAATGAAGATAACTTCATTGCATTTATTTAGAGACGTTTACATTCTTTTAGCTTTAGCAAAAAGGTCCAGTATCCATATTGCACTCAAAAGATTATGGTTTTCTTTTCGGCAAATCTCTTTTACATGCATCCAGACATAAATGACCCTCATTCAGTACAGTTCTTCAGACCTGTCAGAATATACTCATAAATGTCCATGTTTGTCTGTCATACCATATACAGCACCACAGAATGTGGAGTCAGACATTAAATCAGGAGAAACATCAAATGTATCACCACACAGCTGACGTTTGACATCTTTAACGCGCCAAAAAACTTTTGGCAACATGAAAAAAGCACTCTCAGAGAACAAGAAGAGGCAACACAACTAAGCACACATATATAACTCTTTACAGTGTCAAAGCTTGTTTCTTCATCCATTTGACTACATTCACAGGCACACAGCATTGCAGGTGGGCCAAAAGAAGCCTGCAGCAGAAGTCTGATTTATGGGGACTGCAGAGATGCTACACAGAGTGGCAAAGGTGCCACCTGACGAGATTGATGACAGGAACTGACATGTTTTTTTGGCTTGGACTAAGGTACTAGTACCCCTGGGTAAAGTTATAGCCAGTCTCTGAGTGGAGGCTGGAGCCTGAAGCAGTAAAACTGTAGGCAGCATAGGCAACCACAGAGCCCAACATCAGTCCAGACATGTAGGACACAGTCATTATGTTCCCTGTGGGAAAAACAAATCACATGGACTAAAGTTAATGACTGCATCTCTAGAGAAGAGATTATAAATGCATCCTTCTGAAGGTTTAGGCTTATATACAAGCACCTGTTCATCTGCATAGACTTGTGCATTTATACTCTATGAATCTAAATGGGGTGATAGATTTACCTGCTAGTTCCCTCTGCTCAGGTGCCACCTTGCCTGCAGCATGAATCATGGGAACACTGCCAAAATAGCCATTAGTGACGCCCATGAGGAGAGAGAAGATGCAAGGCCATGCCGGGTGGCTGAAGGTGGGCTTCTGAGCCGGATACACACACATGATGAACAGAGGGATGAAAACTACTCGCACACACGAGCAGAAGAGAAGACGAGTTCCGTTCCATTCATACGGCACGGCTGCCAAGATCTAGACACATGGAGAGACAAGATTAGGTGTCAAATTACTTCAAAGAATGTAGATGATGACATAATCTGTAATGCCATTATGTCAGTGAACATACTTTGCCCACAAAGTCAGATATGTTGAAGATGGCCATGATCAGGATGGGCAGCCATTCCCCCAGTGTGACATTCCTGATCTCCGACTCCAGTCCAGGAAAAAGACACAGCGTGATGAAGTAAGTGACAGCAATAGACAGCATGTAGGTCCAGATCACACGGGCGACCACATAACGATGCAGGATCATGCCTGCAACAGAAGGGGTCACTGCTCATTAACCAAATAACATAAAAATTAGGTCCTTAAATAAATAAATGCAAAAGAAAAAATGGAATTAATACTTTTCTTCAGCAAGGATGCATCAAAAGCAACATTTAAAACTTTAAGATTGTTACAATCAAATCCATTTTAAATAAATGTGTTCTTTTGAACCTTCTATTCATCAAAGAAAAATGATTATCAATTAACAGTATGACACTGAAGACTGGAGT